TATCAATCAAAGCATTTAATCTAAGGAAAAAGTAAAGAATCCTTGTATCAATCAAAGCATTTAATCTAAAGAAAAAATAAAGTATCCTTGTATCAATCAAAACATTTAATATAAGGAAAAATTAAAGCATTTCCTCGCTTAACAAGCAACACCACCTATCTCGATTTTTTGAAATTTCAAAGAGGAAGATTCAATTGAATTTTTCGCAATCAGTACCGAATATTTCTGAATTTTTTTAATATTGGCTATGAACATGAGACCGCATGTTTCAACCAGACGCGAAAAAAAATTAGAAATATTTATTATTGGTTGCGAAAAATTAATTTGAATCTTCCTCTTTGAAATTTCAAAAAATTGGGATAGGTGGTGTTGCTTGTTAAGCGAGGATTTCGAAGTATTCTCTTACTAAGAAACACAATGTTCAACGCTTCTGTCTTTAACTTAAATTGAATAACAAAAGAGCTTGGCAAAGCTTTACGTAAAAACCTTTATCGCAAAAAGCTGATTGGAAACCTTGTTTAATTCTAACCCTAAGCAGTAACAATTGCAATTAACCCGAAAAAGGTTTACCTCATAGAAAAAAATAACTCTGTAACAAGTTCGAATACCGATTTTTCAGAAATGTGCAAAAAATTGCAGTACACACTGTAAATAGTGTTTTCGACATGGAAATTGCTTCAAAAAAAAGAAAAAGAAAATTTCTGCACAGTTGGAAATAAAAACCAAACATATTTTTTAATTTAATTCTTGACCGCGGGACTTTTATAGCTCCGCACGTCTGATATAATCACTCTAAATGAGCCATTAAACGCTTTTTTAGCGGCACATTACAAGTGATCGATATTGCACTTTAAATGTTTGTTTGAATATTTAGAACTTTATGAAACTTTATAAAGTTTTAACGTCGAAAATGACGGTGACGAGTTTTTTGTTTTTGTTTGCACATCTCTGTACAAAATATCTGTTACGCATGTGGACATAATGTATGTTAAATCTGACATCGAGGGTCGAATGCCCATCTGTTGGAATGGCGTGGAATTTTGGAGCAGGAGGTAACAGCTCAGTAGATGCCCTTTAAATCTGACCACTTTGACAAATGAAGAGGCTCATCCCAAAATGGTTTTTGAGCTGTTTCGGAATGAAACTTGAACTCATATTTGAAACTAGACCCTATAGAAATGCATAAAAGTTAGTTAGAAGCGGATAATGATAATCGGTATTTAAATGATTTTATTTTTAAACTGGCCAGTAATTAAATGCCAGAATTCTGAATATAGGTTGGACGTTTCCTTACAAATTCAGTACCAGACGGGGAACAATTTCATTTTTATGCAAAAAAATAAATAAATTTGTGATATGCAATGAAGGTTTATTCGGCAAATTTCTTCAAATAGAGAAAACATTGTTTAAGGTTGTTTCTCAAAGACTTATCTTCGATACAAAAGAAGGGGAGAGAAACGACGGACCCAAATTCTGTGGCACAGCGGTAGCGCGTCTGACTCCAATTCAGAAGGTTGAGTGTTCAAATCACGTCCGGGTCAAAATTTTATTGCTTTTTCAAGGTTGGGTTAAATTTTTTACGATTTAAAGTCGTCACAATCCCTGTTGACTCATTCTCGTTGTGTATGTTTTCCTTAAATGGCAAATTCTGTTCAAAGTGAAAAAAAAATTAATGGTGTTTTTCAAAGGACTTTTATTCAGTTTGTAACAAAGATATGCCTGCAAACAGTCTAAGGGCCGGTGGCGACCGTGCAGCGTCTGACTCCAGATCAGGAGGTTGCGTGTTCAACACACGTCCGGCCAAAATCATTCTTTTCTGGCAAGGTTGCTAAATATTTGCTAACACTTAAAGTCGTCAGTCAATCCCTGTCTGATCTGATTCTCGTTGTGTTTTTTAAATGGCAAATTTGCTTCATGAAAAAATAATAATGGTGTTTTGTCATAAGGACTTTTATTCAGTTTGAATACAAAGATATGGATCCTACAAAGCAGCCAAGGGCCGGTGGCGGCGAACGGTAGGCGTCTGACTCCAGATCGGAGAGTGCGCGAGTTCAAATCACGTCCGGGCCAAAATTTTATTGCTTTTTTCAAGGTTAAGAAGATTTGCCAACGATTTAAAGTCGTCAATCCTGCTGACTGATTCTCTGCCAGTATGTTTTCCTTTAAATGGCAAATTCTGTTCAAAGTGAAAAAAAATTTATTATGGTGTTTTTCATAGGACTTTATTCAGTTTGTAACAAAGATATGGATCCCACAAACAGTCAAGGGCTCGGTGGCGCAACGGTAGCGCGTCTGACTCCAGATCAGAAGGTTGCGTGTTCAAATCACGTCCGGGTCAAAATTTTATTGCTTTTTCAAGGTTGGGTTAAATTTTTTACAACGATTTAAAGTCGTCACAATCCCTGTTGACTGATTCTCGTTGTGTATGTTTTCCTTAAATGGCAAATTCTGTTCAAAGTGAAAAAAAATTTAATGGTGTTTTTCTTAAAGGAATTTATTCCGCTTGTAAATAAAAGATATGGCCCTGCAACAGTCAAGTGGTCTGGTATAACACCGTTAGCGCGTCTGACTCCAGATCAGAAGGTCGCGTGTTCCAACTCACGTCCGGTCAAAATTTTATTGCTTTTTCAAGGTTGGGTTAAATATTTTACAACAATTTAAAGTCGTCACAATCCCTGTTGATTGATTCTCGTTGTGTATGTTTTCCTTAAATGGCAAATTCTGTTCAAAGTGAGAAAATATTAAATGGTGTTTTTCAAAGGACTTTTATTCAATTTGTAACAAAGATATGGATCCCACAAACAGTCAAGGGCTCGGTGGCGCAACGGTAGAGCGTCTGACTTCAGATCTGGAGGACGCGTGTTCAAATCGCATTCAGCCATTTATTTGCTTTAAGTGTCGCCTTTCATAAATAAATTCTAGCCACTAGTGGCTTAAGCTGTTCACTAAGTTATAGGAAAAAAATAAGTGCTTAGAATTCAAAGATATAGATAGCTATTTGTTGGAATTCAAATGAACTGGTTCAGTCACTGAATGAAAGCATCTCGTTGGTTAATTTTCATGACGTAGCCGAAGTTACGGCACTAGTCTAAGTTGATTGGTTGTTACAATCTATATATATTGTTCATTTGTGTTTTTAAGGAATCGTTCGTTCAGTCAGTCTGAGAGTAGACGTAGCTGTGGTCAGCTGAATGGATGGCTGTCATTGAGTGTTTGGGCTGCAAGACAGCAGCATGTCTTTATTTGTTATACAGTAAACTGCATTAAAGCTCTTTTGTATTTTAAAACTGCCTGGTATCTGCGTTACTCTGCAAATTACACTCATGACATGCCAACACTATTTACCTGCTTACACACAGTATGTTATTTCACAACAAATACCCAAGTTATTTTATCTGTTCTTTCATATTTTTATAAGAGGAATTTTATCAATTACGTATGCTAGCTGCATTCATTTGATAATTTCTCAGAAGGTGTAATGAAAACTAGTATCCCTTATATTTATTGATTTCAGGTAATTGATTGATATTATTGTATTTTTTTGTTTTGAAATTCAGTTTAACCGATATTTAATTTTTTTTGGAAGCAGAAAATAATTAATTGTATGAAATCGAAAAGAATTTAAGAAAAAATTAAGTGAAGGTAAAAAAATAGACTTTTTTCTAAGTTCATTGCCTGTTGGAAAAAAAAATTTAGACTGGTATTTAAACTTCTCATTTTGGCGACTAGTGATTTTATGATTATGCATTTCCATGGAGGATTCTTGATTCTAATTTACGTTAGAATATTCTTAGTATTTATCGATTACGTCGCAGAATCTGTTCCAAGAACAGACTATAAGAAAGTTGTTATGAAAGAATGAAAAATTTTCTTTGTATTTATTCTTTAACAAAATTGATCGTTGTTCTTTTCTATCTTAACCCATTAAAGTCTCGCGTCCCTTTTTAGGAACGCCGATGAAAATGCATTTTAAGCTCACAGAATTTATTTTTTCAACACAAATTTCATAAAATATATTTGTAAGTATTTGTTTCTTTTATATTCAATCGATGGCAGCACATTTTAAACTTTCTGTAGATAATGTAGCCTTTTTATTTTCAAGTCAGACTCGAAAAGCAGCTTTTTGCAATGTGAAGAAAAGGGCAAGTTTGTTCTATTATTTACTAATGAATTTAATGGCATTTAAGAAATATATCAGTAAATACGTTTGTAAGAATAAGTTTTCTTTTTTGCATTCCACCCAACTGTAGATTTTGATAGGTTTCCAGTGGTGGCCAAAATTGTGGAAACCTTTTAAACATTTGCACATTTTTTTCGAGTATTTGCCGAAAGGCTAAATTGATTGTCCTTTAACTTCAACCATGTAAAGAATAGGCTTACAGACAAAATGTACATTGAAGAGTCGGTCACAGGGGCATTTGGGAGCATGGAAACTTATAATTTAGCTTCTCTTAGAATGTACCAACATTTATCTCGCTGCAATTCCGATATCGACACGAATATTAACGGTATTGAACTGGAATATTTATATAAGTTGCCCCATATATCTGGCTCTGAAGTTGTGAAAGAAAAACTGCGTTATATAGCTTAAGCGCATGCGCAGTGAGAAATTATTTACTACAAATAATATTCAAAGTGTTTATTTCAAATTTTTATACAATGCGTTGCTAATATATTCACATATATTTTTTAAGTTTCGGACAATTTCATTAAAAACTCAGCATGTTATAAGCAAAATATATGCGGAAAAATTTTAGATTTTTAAAAGAAAACCGTATATATTCCAGAATATGCATGTTAATTTTACGAAAATGCATATAAGCAATGTGCATATTAAACAACATAACCATTGATAAAAGTTGCAAATCATTATCAACTTTTTGTGAAGAGGTGTGATCCGAGATCCTTTTTCGTCTTCACCAATTTCTCGTCTTTCCCCTAAATGCCCTCTTGACCGAATCTTCAATGCAAATTGTGTATGTGTTTTTTAAGCCTATTCTTTGCATGGTCGAATTTCAAGGAAAATCTATTCAGCTTTTCGGGAAATATTCGTAAAAATGTGCAAATTTTAAAAGGTTTCCGTAATTATGCCCATCACTGTAAAGTGAAGAGAATCGAGAATGCATTTTGTAGCTTTTTATTTTGATCTACTAGGTGAAAAACTTTACAGGTTTCTACGATTTTGGTGTCAAGACCACAAACCAAATTTCATTAATTCACCAGGGTGTATTTGAATTCTTGTGCTATGGCGTTCGTACCCATATGAATCGTAATTCCAACAGACAA